CTGGCCTTCCCAAGCAGAGTGGTGAGATGGAAAGTTCAAAGGTCACAGGTCATCTTGGACCCAGAGAGGATTCCTCAGAAGCCCCAGGGCCAGATGGGCTGAACTGGAACAGGATATGGGTCTATGGAGGGGAACAAACCCAAGTACCCCAGGTCTACCCTGCACATGCTGCCTTGGGAAATCCCTGTGACTCTCTACAGGAACATCTGCCATGTCAAAAGGGAACTTGGTTTCCAGAGAAGTGATCTTGCTCATAAAAACAGTACCCTTGGCTACCTGGTATGGTGAACCGGGTCTGAGCTCAGCCTTTGGGACTTCAGTGAGGGGTGACCTTTGTGGAGCATTGGCTTGCACCAGCACAGTGCTAAGTGTCATCTACGTTACCTCCTGAATTTGTCACCCCACCTCACCCTGCAGCTAGGGTGGCCCTACCCTGCTACCCAGGAGGAAAGGAGGCCGGGAGAGGGGAAGCAACTTGCTCAAGGTCAAGTTTGCTCCCAGGGAGCTGCAGACTCTGCCTCCCACACTGTCTGCTGTGCCCCGGCTGCCGGCTGCCGGCTGCCCGCCTGGGGGAGCTGGCCCAGCCTCTTCTGGTCACTAAATCCCCCAGATTCTGTTCAAGTTGCCTCCTTTGGGCAGCAATGACTCCATTCAGGGTTTGCAAGAAATCCTACCTTTGGGACATGCGGGCGAAGGAGGAAAAACCCAGCCCAAGTAATAAACAGAGGGCTTTGTCAGGACATGCCACACTTAATGAAAACTGAGAGGTGTGGGTCTTGTTTTTTTCAACAGCATTCTCCTGTCATTTCCGCGTCCCTCCTTGGTTGGACCTAATTAATTGCTATAATGCAACCCATCCAGGGAGGAGATGAGCTGGGAAGGCCTGTGGCGGGCGAGTCGCTTTGTAGATTTGAGCTCAGAGGTTGAGTTCTCAGGACCACCCCTTGAGCCCACCTCAAGCCTTGGCCCACAGGCTGCGTTTCTGGTAAAGGGAGCCCGTTTCCCATCCGGCCCTGCACTACGGAAGGGCCGTATAGCCGGCATCTTAATTATTCATGGTGCGCCGTTGGCAAATGAAGTCACTCGGAGGAAGCGTTCAATTCCAGAGAAGTGTCACCTCCCCGGGCTTCGCTGGCCGGGCAATAATGCTGGGGTCAGAACTCTTATGAACAGGCGGGAGATCTGCTTTCACTCAGTGTGCACACCCCCCCTCGGCCGCCCGCGGGTGCCAGGGAAGGGCGTCTCCCTGCCCTGACTTCTCTCAACAAGACCATTCAGATGGGAAGAAAAATGACACCTTTTTAAAAATCAACAAGACGATTTTTTTTTTTTTAAAAAGCAGTTCCTGTAAAACACGGAGCTTGCTGGTGTTTCCAGTTCACATGCCAAAGAGCTGGGCAGTGCTATGGAAAATTCCCCTTGAGGTCTACCCGGAGAAGGATGGGAGCATTACCAGCGTCCTCACGGGGAGCCCCCATGCCTTACCCTCAGATTACCGTGGCAGAATACGAGGAAAGCTATTTCTGTGCTAATTTTTGCACTTACCTTGAAAAACGACTTTTTTTTTTTCCCCCCTGCAGAGAATGCTAGATTTGAGATTCTAACAGTGCAGGGACATTGCAGCTGCTGAGTTGCAGATGGCATCTTGCTTCCTTATTGGAGGACACGGGACCTGGGTGGGCCCAAATGGGCCTGTTCCTTTCAGCCTAAGCCAGGCAGTGCCAGCCACTGTTCCCAGCCACTGCCTTCAGCATCACCCCTTAAGGAGCACGTCTTACACACTGTTTGTTTTCTGGTGACCCTTCCCCGTTTGAATGCCACAGATATACTGTGCTGGGTTTAGGCACTATATGTCTGCACTCTACGCCTTCAAGCAGGAAGTTTATTGCCACCCCGAGTTCTCCACCCCTCAGAGATTTGCTCCTTCTGGGCCACATCCCTCCCATTAAGAAGCCCTAAATTGTGCCGGGTGTGGTGGCGCACGCCTGTAATCCCAGTGGCTCAGGACTGAGGCAGGAGGATCGCAGGTTCAAAGTCAGCCTCAGGAGTGAGGCCCTAATCGACTCAGCAAGACCCTGTATCTAAATAAAATGTAAAAACAGGGCTGGGGATGTGGCTCAGTGGTTAAGTGCCCCTGAGTTCAATCTCTGGTACCCCCTCAAAAAAAAAAAAAGAATTTCTAAATTGCAACCTGACACCGTGTGCCAATTAGTACCTGGCATTAGAGCTGGGTACAGGCCCCACATGCACACCCAGAGTATCAACTAGGACTTTTGATAGTTGGGAGATATAGGAGGTTCTCTTTCTAGTGAGGCACCCTGGCACATGCCTGTAATCCCAGCTGCTTGGAAGGCTGAGGCAGGAGGATTGCAAATTGAAGGCCAGCCTCAGGCAACTTAGTGAGGTCCTCTGAAAATAAGAGAAAAGAATACAGAGAAAAATTCTCTTTCTGGGTATATTGGTGTGTGGTCTGAGGACTGCAGATGCTGTGACTATCTGCTGTCCTCAGGGCAGAAGCCAGCTGAGGACAAAGCCCACACATGAAGTGGACCAGGTCAGAATGAATTCTGCAGACAGCATTGTGCCCCGATCAGAACCAGGCCTGAGTTTGGTTTCACCACTGGAATGTTAGCCCGGGTGAACTCACTTCTTTTCACTCTGTGGGTTAGGTTGGGTTTCCTATTATCATAATTTGGAACATCCGACAGAACAGGTAACATGCATCGAGTGCTTCCTAAGATCTAAGCCGTGTGCTGAATGCGCTGCACGTCAGGGAATTCTCTTACCCAGCTCTGTGATCACCTCCACTGATCCCCCACTTCAGAGATGAGGAGACGGAACCTCAGTGAGATTAACTTGGCCATGGCCACACACCGGCCGAGACTGGGGGCCCTCACCTACCTACTGTGGAATAGATAAGAGGCCAAGGGGAGAAATCACTTCCCTTCTTTTTCATTCTAGACAATTCAGTTCACCACTTTCTTGCTCGATATTTGAAAAGCATTAACAATTTTTATTTTAGTTGAATATGGTCACTATACCTTTGTCTTACTTATTTATTTTTATGCTGAGGATTGAACCCGGTGCCTCACACATGCCAGGCAGGTGCTCTACCACGGAGCCACAACCCCAGCCCCTTGAAAATTTAAAAAATTATTTCAACTTTAAAAGGATCTTTCTTTGCAAATGATTTAAGCATATTGTGCCATTAAGAAAACTATTGTTCTAAGGCTAAAAAAACCAAAACTGTTTAAAATCTTATTTCTCCAAAAACCCAGGAAACTTTAAACCTGAGCCTCATTTTCTTCTACTTGTGACTTAATGCTCACAAAAGTCCTTGTTATTTTATTTATTTATTTATTTATTGTGGTGCTGGGGATTGAACCCAGGGCTTTGTGCATGCAAGGCAAGCTCTCTACCAACTGAGCTATGTCCCCAGCCCTCCTGGTTATTGTAAATGCATGTTCTGATCACAAGAAGATATTGACTCCATCGGTGTTCATTTTACAGAAGAGAAAAATGTGTATTTCGGTAGCTTAACCTTTCAAACTGAAGTTGTGCCTTAAAATTATTATTGACCAAACTGATAAAGAACTCACAGGGTCCGGGGTTGCTGAAACCTTCATTTTTGAATTGGTCAGTAACAGCATTCGAGATAAGCCATAAATCCCCTGGATCCCCTGGGAGACAGGCACAGAGACTGTCTGGTTGACCACACTATTTGGGTCTTCTTTTTGAAAATTTCCCCAACATCAGAAAGAAAAAGCAAAACTACATGCGGGACACTTATCCTCTAAACCAAACTGAACAGGGATTTCCCAAGAGAGAGTGGAAAAAAACCGTGAAAGACAGACACACTTCTGGCTCCAAAAGCCAGGGGAGCGTCTGACCTGTGGCCAGCTGGGATCTATCCAGAGTTCCCTAATACGCTCAAACCCCCACGTGCCCCGGTTCTCAGCATGGCTTTGGGATTCCACGTCAAAACGCACGACAACAGAGACAGGTTACAGAAAGCAAGAGAAAGCACAAATTAAAATGTTCCTCACGCCTAGGCAAGGATGACCGGGGGTCAGGGACCCTCTAGACGTCTACTGGCTGACCTCAGAGGCTGCCTTTTCATTCTGCCTGGTGGACGAAACACGGTGGCTTCTCTAAACCAAGTGCTGCATCACAGATGGGACACGATATAACCAGCTACAGATCCCAGCCGTATGAGGAATGGGGTCAGGGTGGGGGAACCCAAGAATGGGCAGCAGAGCCCTTCCACCTCCCATAAACCCAGGTACAACCTTCCTGATTCAACAACACTGGGCTCTTAGCCTCAGAAACCCTAACAACCAAAGCACACAAAGCACTTTTGAATCCACAAATCACTGTTTAAAACAACCCAGCCAAGATGCAGTTCCAGAGCAGAGGGAGGGAGGGTCTCCTAGTTGAACAAAGTTGCTGGTTTTTTTTTTTTTTTTTGCTTGCAGCATGGGACCCAGCAGAAGGAGAAAGAGGCTGTGCTGTTACAGGGAGTGATCCCAGCCAAGCACAAAACCCGCCAGGTCACCCCACCTGCCAGCCTCCCACAAACTGTTCACCATTTGGTGTCCTTCCTTCCAAAGGCCGGAAAGGCTCAGAAGCAGCTTTTCCTGGCTCTGCCCTGCAAGTTGGGGTTGCCTGATGGAAAACTGAAATAAAATCAAAAGGAGGCCAGCAAACCCAGGAAGGGACCTGGGACAGAGTGTGAAGCCATCTATTCTAAAATGGCCAGGCACCCCTCTGCGATGCAAAGGAAGGGGTCCCCCGAATGTCAAAGTCCCTTCCTGGAGGCCACTCCACCGCTGTAACCCACGTGTGCAAATGCTGGAGGGCCTCACCGCTGGTGCCCCCCCGCCCCGTGCAGGGCCAGGAAGACGCGGTCACCCACAGCGGCCGAGCATTTGACGCAATGGCCAGCCACCGGCTGGGAGCTGAGAAGGAAGTCACACAGGTGGGCCCTGCGCGCGGCTCACCTGGTACACGTCGCGCAGCCCGCACCACGTCCGCAGCACCTGGTGGCAAGCCCGCAGCCGCTCCGAGGACCACCTCCGCAGCGTGGTCACCGTCAGGTTCCACACGAAGCGGCTGCCGGCGAACAGCAGGTCCTCCACGCCGCACATGAACACCGAGGCCATCCTCCGGGTTCGGTCCCGACGCCACCTCCGCGGGCAGCGGGGTCAAGCCTGCCGCCCGGCTGGTCTGCAGCGCGCGCCCCGGCCGGCTCCGGGCGGCATGCCCCCGGATTGGGCCCCGGGATTGGGCCCCGGGATAGGGCCCCGGGATTGGGCCCCGGGATTGGGCCCCGGGATTGGGCCCCGGGATTGGGCCCCGGGATTGGGCCCCGGCCAGCCAACGGCCGCGGCTGGCACCGGCCGCCCGCGTGCGCCCCGCCCGCCCGCAGCGCCCAGCCGGCTGCGCTCAGCTCCGCCAGGCGGGAGGGCCGCCCCCGGGGCTCGGGCGCCCTGGCCAGCGAGGACGGCCCCCGGCACGCCCCCGGGGCGCGGCCGCAGGAGGCCTGGCCCGGGCTGCAGGACGGAGCTCAGGCGCTCCCGCCCGCCCCGGGCCGGCCGCTGCACGACTGGGCAGCTCCCCCCTGCACCGCGGGGTCCCCGCCTGCCATCTCGCCCCTCCACACGGTAAACACCTCCGCGGAGGCCACAGATGCAGGAGAGAGAGAGAGAGAGAGAGAGAGAGAGAGAGAGAGAGAGAGAGAGAGAGAGAGAGAGAAAATCCTCCGAAGCATCCCTGTGGACCTCGGCCCCGGGGATCCCCGAGTGTTTCCTTGGTTCTGCGGGAGCCTGGAGATCAAGAGGGCAGCAACAGCTGGCCCCCGCTCCAGGGCCGGCCTCCGCTCCAACCCGAGGGTCTCCGGGAAGAGGCCCACCTGCGTGTCAGCCGGAGGGCGGGCTCCCTCACACCCTGGAGAAACAGTGCAGCAGGTCTGGGCAGGGCAGAAGGACACAGGGACACAAGGGGGTTTCAAATAACAACTGCAGGTCATTTGCTGAAAAACAGCTGCTCCTAAGAGGATTCTTGTTTTGTGTCCAGAAAACTCAGCCTCTGGACACTGGTAGCTTCAGCGGCTATCACAGACCTCCATGGGTAGTTTATTTCCCACTCAGCCAAAAAACAAAGTCACCAGGTAATTAATCACTTTTTAAAGTTCTCCCTCAGGAATGGATATTGCCTAAGGCCTTTGGAAAGGGGATTCAGAAGAACCCCACATACCACCAGTCTCTGTTTTCCTTCAGAAGGTTTGTAAACTCCAGTCCCCCATAATCCCATGCCATTTCTCACAGGGACAGCACTGCGGCAGAGGGAGGGGTGGGGTTTTCCCCTAAACCCACCTGTGGGACGATGAGTGGCCTGGCTTTAGCTGGTGGTTTCACCCCTTCGTTATTTTTGCTAGAGTATGGAAACCTCAGGCTCCCTTTCTCCCTAGCTAGACAGCGAGGCTGCAGAGCAGGCGATCCACAAGCAAATCAGCTTTATTTCAGGTTTCAAATGTGCTGTTGGAATCTTCATTCAGGCGAAACTCAATCAGTCCACAGACGAGGAACACAAAATCTGTTCTCAAGATCTGTCCTCACAGTGCCTGTGGTTTCCAAAGGAACTGTAATCAGAACACTTTTAAATGCCATCTCTTTCAAAGTAAAAAAGAAAAAAGAAAAAAAAAAAACTACCTCATTTTTTTTTGTTGGATTAGTTATTAGGACACAAGGCCTGCTCCAAGATTTGCTGATCTTTCTTTGCAGTAAATTTCTTCTCTGTGCGCATACGTATTAGCATTCTGACAGCATTTTCCAAGATAATATTGTGGTGTTTACACAGAATCTTTTACACAGAATCTGAATATATGAGGTTATACTGAGTGCAAAGAAAGAAGTGAAGTATAGTTTGGAAAAGGAGCATCATCATGCTGATGTAAAACTTCTGAATTTCAAAAGGGGCCTGTTAGTAAAAGTGAGTGGTAGTGGGGTGTGTGTGTGTGATTTTTTTTTTTCCTCTTAATGATGCAGTTTGTGTTCTCGGAAATGTCAGGCAGCCTTGGGAATACCAGAATAACACCTCCAACAGGTCAATTACCTGTGCCCCATGGCACTATCCTCTGGGATGCTCTACAAACACCTTGGCAGGCAGTGATCTGTGCGTAGGTCTAATGTCAGCGGTCAGTTCCATCAGCTATTTCCACTCATGATTACCACACCAGTCCTTGCACAAATTTTCCATTTGTGGGATATGGGACAACAGGGGTTCTTAGAACATGATCCTGGGTCCAGCAGCACCAGCATTGCCCGGGAACTTGCTAGGGACACAAGCATTGGGGCCACCCCAGAGTCAGGCACCATGGGGACGAGATCAGCGATCCGAGCTAGACCTGTCCTCGGGGGGATTCTGACTCATGCTAAAGTTGGAGAGTCATGTAGGTGGCACATGGTGGCTAGGCACTAAGTCACCTAAGGGAGACACACCTCATTTCCAGTCCCTGCCCCTCAGGATCCCTGGCACCTTGAACATACTCCTTAAGCCAGCGAGGTCTTCATGTGTTCAAGTAGAAAATGGGGAGGGTGCCCGTTACCTCTGTAAGCTTTGGGCAAGATGAGGTGGAGTGTTTCCTATGAAGTGTTCTGCAAGGTGTCTGGCAAAGATCGGCACCCCGAGAAATCCACCACCATCACCACCCAAATCAGGAATCCTTTCAATTTTCTATGCTCAGATAGAAAAGTACGAGCTAAATGTTCTTTCGTTTATTTATTTTTATTTTGACTGTGTATACCTGCTTCACTATCTCTTCCTGTTTGCTGAGGGTAATGGTCGGGGGGAACTTTTTTGAGGAGAGCAATTCTGTTGCTTTCAGGTTCCTCAAAAGTGTTTTGAAGGTGGACCTTTGCTACCGGAGCCAGCTGTTCCGGAAGATGGTCTAAAAGCTCCCTGTGGAAAGAAAGCTAAATCAAGCTAGTTTCAAATTTGTCTTGTTTTCCATTTTTTTTTTAATGGAGTGTCCTTTTGCCCCAGAGTTCCCTGAAACCCACTGCCATTTCCTGCAGCTCTCTGCAGAGGCTGAGGCACAGGCTGTAGGTGATGGCACTGCTCATACACCTGGGAGTCCTGCTGAGCAGGACCGAAAGAAAGCCATTACCCCGGGCTCCATCAGCGATCTGCTACCCACGGCAGGAAGGAGAGCACCGTGTCGGGAGGGCGGCACGAACTGCCTGCCCCACCTCTGGAGAGAGCCAGGGAGTGGGTACTGCCGAGGCCCCCATGGGTCCCTCTGCCCTCAGAGTCCACTGACATCCATGGACGTATTTCAGCAGCTCTCTGTGCATACGTGAGAACCCAGTGCGACTGAGTGCCGATAGCGCAGGGATTGAGGGGCTCTCACCAGGGGCAATTTTGCATTGCACTCTAGAGATCTTTTTGGTGGTCAGACTCAGGACTCTCTAGAGTCCAGTAGGTAGAGGCCCAGGGTGCTGCTGAACATCCTGGGACGCCCAGCACAGCCCCACCATGAAGGACCCTCCTGCCCGGGACGTCCAGGACACCGAGGCTGGGACCTCAGTCAGCCCAGGGCTGCTCTCCTGCTCTTTCCCTCCCGTGACCTTCAATTTGCAGAAGTGTGCTTCCCTCTGGACCCATCTCCCCAGAAGGGGAAGAAGTGAAACTGTCAGTCTGGTCAGCTTGTGCACACACAGAGCCTTCTGAGGAGGAGGGGGATGCATTTCCCTTTCATTTCACTCTTAAAATATTTATGATAAAAAGGAGAAACTGTTTTCACCGTTAGCTTAAACTATTTGGGCTCTATTTATTTTTATTTATTTCATTTCATTTGAGCTAGAGCTCTTGGGGAGGGGCAAAGCCCTCCTTGGCCTGTTGAAAGCTGCCCACAGGGTGGCCAGAAGGCCCTGAAACTCCGGCTGTGCCAGTCGGGGGCACTGAGCCTCCAACTGGCCTTTATCCACTAAGCTGCAGGCTCGCAGGGGCCCCCCAGGCAGGTGCTGTGCAGGCAGGCTGGCTGGGGCAGTTGGAAGGCATCAGTGACCCTGGGCACCACATGCCCATGGGCCCCAGTTGGCTTGAAAACAGCAGCAAAGCTCACAGGTTCCTGGTGCGCCAGGTGGGGTGGCACCCAGCCCCGTGAGAAGCCATGGCAGAGCCAGGGAAGGGCTAGGTCAGGACGGCTGCCCAGTGGCTGGCACGGAGCTGCGGTCAGTTTGTGTATATTGAACTGAGCGATGAATGGCCATTGGTCCCAACCTAACACTGTCACTCCTTAAAGAGTTACGTGCGCATGGTGTTGGCATCAGGCAGGGAAAGAGGCGCTCAGAGGCTGTGGCAAACCCGACTGTCTAAGTGGGTCTTGGGGGCAGGTGGGGACGTTTGCACGGGGACAGGAAGGAGCGGGCGCTGCGCTGGGGGTTGTAGCTGACGTGTGATGGAGGATGGCCGAGGAAGGCCTCCCTGAGACTCGGGGGCTGACTAGGGGAGCTAGTGACAGAAGGCGGGGCGCAGCAGTAGCAGATCACATCACAGGGAGCTGTGAGGACCAAGGTCCCCAGCAAGAAGCAAAACCCGGAGGGACACTTGGGGCAGGGCCAGTGAAGCCAGTTAGACAGGCCGTCAGTGGAGAGAGGTGAGTCGGTCAGGTGGGATCAAGGAGGCCATTTGAGTGGGAAGTTGGAGACGGTCCCCTCCCTGAGGGATTCAATGTTAATTCCTCCGATCCCTGCCTCCACCCCAATCTAGAACCTGCCCCTGCTCCAACCTGCTGCCAAGGTCACCTGTCCCAGGACTGGCCCCTCCCTGCAGGGAGCTACAGGGCTATTAATTAATGTGTCCTTGGTGCTCCCTCCTGCCGGTCCCCCTTCAGCCCACCTGAGCATCCCTGGGTCTAGTCACAGGAAGGAGAGAGACCGGGGAAGAGGGCAGGAGAACTAAGGAAGCCCAGAATGTATAACAGGGCAGGACACCTCGCTTCTGGGGACACCAGCTGTGGCCCCGTCGCCCTCCAGGGAGAAGGCTGTGTTCCCGCTTCTTAAACAAACCCTGCTTCACACGCTGCCCTCAGGGGCTTCTCTAACGTCCTACTTCCACATGTGGGAGCAGGGCTCATCACCCGTAACCGGGGTCTTCCCAGGGAGGCAGGTGCAGAGTCAGGGTGTGGAGAACGGGCTTGAGGGGGTCCAGACGTCTCCCAGGACTAGCGGGAGTCCACCTGCTTCCTCCCCGGGGGTGCACGCCCGCCTCGCTCCATTGCCCACCCAAGGGGGGCTGGTGGGCGACAAGGGCCGCCTCCTCCCATGGGCATGTGGGCCAGCAGGTCTTGCTGCTCCCGGCC